CATAAAATCAACTTCTTATGTGAAATAATTTGAGGACAAAATGTACATAGTCTACATATAGGTAAAAAGAGATTTAAACAAAGGATTCGGGAAAGGTTTTTATTTGGAACTAACAGGATCTCTGTCACGCAGTTGTGGCCTATGGTTTCAATTTTATTTTTGTTCAGGCATTCATTCTAGAAAGAGAAGGAAGTTGACAAAGCAGACTACGAGTGAGAAAATTTCTTGAGCTTACACTTTTTCTTTTCTAGAAACCACTAATAAAATAGATTACAGTCAAGAAAAAGGGAGTTTAGGGAGCTGACTCTAGAGGGGAGATAGAATGGCCTAACTTAATTGCATTTCCGTTTTTTCTCCTTTAATCCTAGGAAGAAAAACAAAGATCAAATGGCACAAAGCACCAACTCAGAAACAAAACACACAGGGTCAAGCTTGTTTTAAGGAAAAAAAATAAACAGCACTAGTTTTTGTTTTTGTTTTTTTCTTAAATGGCTGGGAACAGTGGGACAAAAACAGACGCTGTCAAAGTATTCCTGATTATTTAAACCCACAGATAAGAAAAAAAAAGTCCCTTAGATTTGTTTAAATTCAACAAATGTACAGAAAGCAGGCACACTGTGTCAAGGATTTTCCAAAACATAGTTTAAATAATAAGAATTAAATTAGGAAAAAAGATGGAGAGGAGGTTTGCAACATGAGCCAGAACTTGCAAGTAGAAAAGAGTGAGAAGTCAAGCAATCAACATTCCTTCCGCAACTTTCTCCTCCAAATGACTAGCCAGGAAACCAAATAACTAACTTGAGAAACCTCCTGTTGCCACACACAAATCTTTCTCAACAATATTTCATACCCAAGGAACCAAGCTATTATTCATTCAACAAACATATACTGAGCATTTACTGCTACTGTCCCCTGTTTTAGGTATTTGGGGGGAATATAGAAGCTGAGGACCCAACTCAGACCTAGTGAACCTAAATCTCTAATTTTCAATCATATTTTTTAATGCACCAGATGATTACTACTAAAACGTCCAGGGGCCAGCCCCGTGGCGTAGTGGTTAAGTTCAGTGTGCTCTGCTTTGGCAGCCTGAGGTTCACAGGTTTGGATCCTGGGGCGGACCTGCACCACTCCTCAGCCATGATGTGGCGGCAACCCACATACAAAATAGAGGAGGACTGGCACAGATGTTAGCTCAGGGCAAATCTTCCTCAACAACAAAAAAAATACTCATCCATCTAATAATCATCCAGATCTGGAAAATCCTGCTTTAGGAGATGCAAAAATTGCTAAGTTCTGGATCTCAAAGAGTTCACATAAGTGACAAGTAAATATACGAATTTTTCCAAAACAAGGTTAAAAATGAAACATGGTATGTGAGGAACAAATTCCTTGCTATGGACATTCAGAGGAGGGAGAAATAATGGACTGTTGGGAGTCGCAGAGGGAGTGAAAGAGAGCCTCACAGAAATACTTGTGTATTTGTGTTAGTATAGTTACCATTTGAATGTGTACAGAAGGAGAAGGAAAAATCTACTATTATGACTAATAGTAAGAAGAAACACGTCTCCAGTGTTCATAGGGCCTGTCCTGGGCACTTTACATAAAGGCTCTCTTGAACCTAATCTAAACCATTATTTCCCCATTTTGCAGATGGGGAAACTAAAGCTCAGAAAGTGTACATAATTTGCTCACAGTCACGCAGCTAGAGATCGAGGAGCTGAAGTTCAATCTCAGATCTACCCCATTCCAGAGCCTACATGCCTCCCAAAGAAGAATAAACAAAGCCCAGATGTGCAGAAGTGTCAGCCACATAAGACCAAGCATCCATTGTTCCCTCTGGCTTCAGGCTGGCAGAGCGGGGGGAGATAGGGTGGGAAGGTTAAGGGGGAGCCAGGCTGTGGATGCTGCCTTAAACTATGTGGGCTTTATATGGTAGCAAGGGGAAACCACTGAAGGTTTCTGAGCAGAGAATACTCTGATAAAAACTCTATCTTAGGTTTTAGGCTGTGAATCATGAGTTATATCTTACAATCTGAAATGACAAAAATCAAAGTTTGAAGAGTCTCGCCCTGCCTTTAAAGAAAAAAGTGTGGCTAGGAGCCAGGTGGAATACTGCCTCATAGCTGTCCAGACAAATTCCGAACATGCCAGTCCTTAAGGAAGATTCTACAGGGCAGAGCGTAAGATAAATGTAGTGAGTGTCTGTTACCCACAGGACAAGGACCTACTCATCCCTGGAACTGTCCAAATCTGGCATAAGGATAGCCCTGGGGACTGCAGCCTTCCCTGGGACCTGAGGCAACCCCATGGGGCAGTGGGCACACACAGGCATGGGCATCTGTTATTGGCAGAGCCCGGACTCCTGACTCCCAGTCCTGTGCTCATTTTATCTAATCATATTGGTTCTGCCGCTAAATATGTGACACTGGGAAAGCCCCTTTCCCTCTCTGGATGTCCCTTTCCTCATCTCTGAAATGAGAAATTGAACTCAACAGGACTCAGATTTCACAATTCTCAGTCCTTTTTCCCCTCAAACACACCAACATAAAGGATCCGCTGCGTCAGTGGCTCACTAACCAGGATTCAGCGGAGGAGCAGCATCTCCCGGGAGTGTCTGTGGTTTGTAAACCCTGAGCTGAGAATGACTGTACCTCCTTATCTCTAGAAAGCCCGCTAGTGCTGATCATATTATAGGATTCACAATTCCCACATCATGGCTGCAAAGTCCTCATTGAATTCCATCTGGCCCAGGATTATCCTTGTTAAGTGCAAACTGGATCACTGATGTCAAAAGTAATTCAACAACACAAGGAACCAAATCACATCCAGGCACATGCAGGGAACTCCTCATTCCAGCATGAGGAAATAAACACTATTGGATAAACACCTGTCAGAGCCAGAGGATGCTTTGTTATTATTTCAGAGTTTTGCTTTCCTCTCAAAGGATGGAGTCTCCATGCATGTGTGTTGTGTGTGTGTGTTTATGACTAAAATTCCCAGGAAGCCAAGCAGAGGATAAAATTGCGGAGTTCTTGGGAAAGAGGAGGGAGGAACCGTGACGCACCTTATCAGATGTTCACAAAGACACTCCTGCCAACTCCAGCCACCAAAAACGAATTTCCAAAGGGATAACAATACTTTCTTCTTAAGAGATTATCAATTATGTAGCTCTAAGAAACTTTGCTTATTGCAGTAGAGGTGAATAGGGAGAAGATGCAAGACTTGTTCTGCTCTCAGAAACACTGCTGGTAAAACAGAAGTTAGCATCTGAATTCACATATTTTTGAAAGGACTTTTTAAACGTCATTGGTTCATCAGACCACACCCAGTAGTTCACCCACAGAGGTGCCCATGAGTGAGTAATTCCTGTAATCAATTCACTGCAAAAATTTGAGGCATGTTAAACCGACAGCCTCGCCTTCTTTGACCTCCAACCAGGGGACAGGAGCAGGAGAATGACTAATAAATGTTAACATTGACACTGAAGCAAGCTTAGTCACACAACCAAAGAAACCCAGATTTTGAGAGTTACCTCACGGTTATTTATTTTTATAGGACTGAACATGAATATGTATTCCTTCTCCAGACCTGAGAAAGGAAAATCTGCCCAAGACGTTTGACGGAACTATCAAAGGGACTGCCAACCTCGCATCTGAGAGTCCTGGGAAGACGGTGCTACAGGGACCAAACTCGACCACCCACATTCTCCTCTGGGAACCAGCTTAGGACGTCTTCAGCTGTCAGTTACTCAAGGTCCCCTCTCTGCCTACTATTGACTGATTTCTGTGCCACTCATTTAAAAGAAAGGAGATTTATACTTAATACACGCCTTAGCAAATCCATCAGGAGGCACAAGCAAGTAGAAGACAAATTGTGGAAAGGATTCAGGCTTTCTCCTTATTTCTTGCCCAAGATACTAGTCTAGTGAACTCCAGCACCTTAGCCACAGCACTGGGAGTTAAGAGTTAGTCTCAGTTGTGATTTCCTGAACTCTACAGACAACCACAAACCTCCAGAGAGCCCTATCACCTGTGATGGCAGAGACCTTGTGAGATGAGCTGCAAAAGGCATCTGGATATCTGCACATCGTGTGTATTTTCGCCGTTCCAGAAATACAGCCTGGTCTGCTAGCTGGCACGACCAAACCAACTGCCAAAGCGGCTACTTCTCCAACAGCTGTAGAAGAGACATTGATACATTGGCACAGAAGGGCAGAAGGGGAGGGATAGTGTAAGTTTAGAGCAATATGGATAAGTGAGAGTGGGGGAGGTTAAGGAACACTGGCTAAATTCTCTCTGCTGAGGCATCCAGATAGATCAGATTGTGGAAGTGGGGAAAAGGCCAATATACACTGTAACTCTCCTGACACTAACTTCAGGCAAGTTGAATACACACACGAAACAAAACCAAAAGGCGAGTACTGGGCATCTGAAGTCAAATAACCCAGTCTAATGCTTACCTCCAGAAACTGGATGCCTTCTATCAAAGGAGCAAAAGTCAGCACTTTGGGTAGATACTTTTAGTGAGACTGCCTCGCACGGATTCAACTCTTCCACACATACCTTCTCTTTAACCTTTGCTCTTTACTTTTTCGCAGGTAGGGTATAGGAAGGATGGAGGAGTGAAGACGGAAGAGAAATGGGAGTGAGGCTAGACCAAGAAATGAAGCGACAGAAGATGTTTTACTGTACCCAGCTCTGCCAAGGTCTCAGAAATTATTGCTGAATGGGTACTTTAAACATCATCTTATCGGTACAGTCCTCTTTTTGAGAGAGAAGTTGATGCCGAAAGAGCTAATGGCTTTCCTAGGTTCATCTAGTGTTGGTTGCAGAGCTCGGGCCACCAGATATCTAGACCCATAAACACGAGGCAGACAAGTTAAAGGAGACCCAATCTGAAAAGCTAATGAGCAGAACGACGGCAAGGAGACAGGAGCAGTGGGGAGGGCTCCAGAGAGCATCCTGGGGCCGCAGGGAGCGTTAGGTGTGCGCTCTGGGTACCTTGATGTAGGCCCGCTGCAGGTAGTTGTAGGGCACTCTGCGCTGGAAGTCGCTGCGCACATCCTCGCTGGCGCGGTGGCGGGACGCGGGTCCCCCGAGGCGCTGGGTCTCGCAGCTGCGGTAGCAGCGCGCCCGCTCCAGCACCGCGCGGAAGAAGGGCAGCTCGGCCCCGGGACCGACGCCTGGGG